TGTGACATCCATCATCACCTGCCTCAAGGAATTACCCGTCGAACGGTACCACCAGCATCTCGATCCGATCATCCGTTTGGACGCAATTCTAATCGTATTGGCTCGATGACCTTCCAGAGCACGGTTTTTTGGCAACGTAAAATGGCGCCTTGTCGGCTTCACTATCTTCCATAGGAGGTCCATTGGGATTGTCAGTCCAGTTTATTTATACGTCCGTGCTACAGACCAAGGCTATATAAACCAGGTAGAACGCTCCGGGAAAAAATTGGAAACAATAAATTAGTTGCGGCATTCCCTGATGACGCAAACGTGGGTCAGCCGCCGGCGGCCGGCGGCCGCTAACACTGTATGAGGATGAGTGCACGGAACTTTTGCTTGTTGGAGATTGCGCTAGGCAGTTAAATGTTAATGTTAGTATATGTTTCGAAAGTAAATTGAACGACGCTTCCAACGCCGTCAATGAATTTGCGATACGACGACTATTTGTTTAGTTAGAGCCGGCGAACTTTTACCTTCCGGCCGCGCGGGGAGGCGATATGGGTCACACTGACGGTTTTTACGATAGCTGTGGCGTGATACCGGGGTCGTGGTATCCCGTCCCCGGCGCCGATGTTAGAGACGGTACCTGGTCCGGGCTGTACCGGGCCCCGGACTGTACCAGGCCTCACTGTCAGAGGCGGGACGACAGGGGGTCTGGGGACGGAAGGACCGGGTAGGCTCTCGCGCTGTGTGACTGGGAGTGTGCGGTGCGCCGGTGGCCCGTCTCGCGTGTGCAGTGGCCCGTTTCGCGCTATCGGACAAATACAAGCTATTTCGGCCTTACCATGGCTGGAGACGAGGTGCCATCAGTGTCCGCGAGTGCAGTGAGCGCGGGTGCCTTGGACGTCCGCGTGATAGCGGAGTTTGACGGCACCACAGACGTGGTAGAGTGGTGGACCCGCGCGGAACTGTTGTGCGCCCACCGTGGCGTGGACTTTGGAGCGATGGTCCCCCTGCGTCTCACCGGTGGAGCCTTCGCCGTGTGGGCTCAGCTGCCGGTCGATCATCGAGCCTCCCTGGCAGCCGTCAAGTCTGCCCTCTTTGCGGCGTTCGCCCTGGACAGCTTCGCGGCTTACGATGCCTTCGTCACTCGTCGTCTTCAGCCGGGCGAGTCCGCCGACGTCTACCTGGCGGACCTGCGGCGGCTGGCTGAACTGTTCGGTGGCGTGCCGGACCGGACTCTGTCCTGTGCATTCGTGAACGGGCTGCCGGACGCGGCAAGACAGGTGATTCGCGCCGGCTCGCGCGCGGAGGCGTTGGACCTTCCCAGCGTGGTCGCGCGAGCGCGCGCCGTCCTCAGTGACGACCGCGTGGCAACGGTGGCGGCGGCGACGGCAGCGCCTCCACGCGGAGGGGGCGGAAGCCGCGGTGGAACGCAGGACGCGGAGGCGGTGATGGCGGCGCGCGTCCCGAGACGGCCGCGCTCGCGCCGGTGCTGGGCGTGCGGCCGGCTGGGCCACGTGGCGGCCGGCTGCCCGCAGGGAAACGGCACAGGGAGCGGTGCGTCAGCGCCAGCGCCGTCTCCTGCGCAATAAGAGGAGCGCTGCCCATACTCAGGTTGCCGCTGAATGGAGGACTCCGAGACGTGCTTGTCGACACGGGTTGTACGCATAACCTCGCTCACGTGGACATTTGTGATCAGTGGGACCGGCAGCGCTTGCTGATCACGACAATGGGTGGCCACGCTGTTCAGGCACTAGGCGTGGGAGTCGTGACGGTTGGCCGCGTCGGTGGCGACAGTGTCTTGCCTGTGCTAGTGGTGGCGTCGCGGCCAATGGGTGTGGACATGATTCTCGGAATGACGGGCATCTCCGCCCTCGGCGGAGTGAGCGTGAAAGGGCCGGGGGATGTGAGGATCGACGCGGTTTCAGAGAGGGTCCCAGTGCGCCCGGCGGGGATCAACAGAGCAGTGGCGCGCCCATGTGGTGTCGCGGGGGCGGCAGTGCGCTCGGCCCCGGCTACGCAAGGACACGGCGGGGCAGTGGCGCAGCCAGGCGAGGCGCCGGCGGCGGCGCGTCCAGCCCGGGCGGCGCAGGTGATCGGCGGGACAGTGGAGCGCCCAGGCGGCGGCGAGGCAGCGGCGGCGGGCCCGGCCCGGGCGGCGCAGGTGATCGGCGGGACAGTGGCGCGCCCAGGCGGTGGCGAGGCGGCGGCGGCCGGCCCGGCCCGGGCAGCGCAGGCGATCGGCTGTGCAGCGGCGCGCGCAGGCGGCGGCGAGGGAGCAACGGATCGCCTCGCTCAGGCAGGCCAAGTGACCGGCGGAACAGTGGCGCGTCCAGGCGGCGCCAAGGTGGCGGCGGTGGAGCTGGCCAGGGCAGCCTCGGCATCGCGCGGAGAGGGGGCGGGGCTTGGTAGCGCCGCAGCGACTGCGTCACAGGACCCGGCCGGCCCGGCGACCGGGCATACCATGCCCGGGCCCAGAGTGGGCGGGGCATCCACCGCGGAGCTAGTGGCCGACGCGAAAGACTTCACGGCGAGGTTCGATGTTAATACACGCAGTTGGACAGTGGCCTGGAAGTGGGCGGACGGAGTCGCACCAGACTGTCTGACCAACCGGGTCGCCGAGTACCGCGTGCCACCGTCAGCGCGGCAGGAGTATGACGAGGAGCTCGAGACGTGGCTGAGGAACGGCTGGCTGCAGCCCTACAATGAAGCAGAGGACGGTCCGCCGCGCGGCCTCGTGAGTCGTGCCCTTGATGGCCGTCCCACAAGCAAAGAAGGTGCGCCCTGTACTGGACATGCGAGAGCTGAACGGTCACGTAGCTGCATACACCGCCGACTCGGACGTGTGCGCCGACCGCCTGCGGAAATGGCGCCGCCACGGCCGGCGGGTGACCGTCGTAGATCTGCGGCGAGCGTACCTGCAGCTGCGTCTCGACCGGAAGCTGTGGCCGTATCAGACAGTGATCATCCGTGGTGAGCGATTCTGTTCGACCCGCCTTGGTTTTGGACTTAATGTAGCGCCGGCCGTGATGAAGGCGGTGGTGCGGCTCGTCATGGCGCAGGATGCAGCAGTGGAGCGCGCCGTCTGTCCGTATGTGGACGACCTGCTTGTGGATGAGGCTGTCGTCAGTGCTGAGCACGTGGTCGAGCACTTTGAGCGTTTTGGGCTCGAGTGCAAGCCACCGGCACGCGCCGAGGACGGCGCTCGGATGCTGGGACTCCACGTGCGGCGTGTGGCGGGTGAGCTGCGGTGGTCTCGTGACAGTGCTGTCCCCGACCCGCCCGACCGTGTGACGCGCCGATCGGTATTTGCATGGTGCGGCAAGCTGGTGGCGCACCTCCCCGTCTGCGGCTGGCTGCGACCCGCCGCCGCCTGGGTGAAACGGCGCGCCAATGCCGTCACGCGCGGCTGGGATGACGTCACGACCGACGCGCTCCTGCAGTCTCAGATCTCGCACGTGCACTCCCGGCTGCTAGCGGCGGACCCGGCGCGGGGCCAGTGGTGCTGGACCGGGGATCAGGCAATCGTCTGGATAGACGCCAGCTCGATCGCGGCTGGAGTGGTCATCGAGACACCGTGCGGTGGCGTGATGGAGGACGCCTGATGGCTCCGGCCCGGCGATGCCGCAGCGACCCACATAAACATGGCAGGGCCTCATCTAAGGATTTTTCACTGGGTGGGCATCCAGCGGATCGGAGGGCGGATCCAGCCACTTGTTTTGGGGTTCAACCAATTTCAAAACATGTGCCGGGGGGGGGGGGGTGAGGCGAAATAAGCTGTGCCATTATTGGAAACAAGATGATAGTTTGCAAAGATAACGTTTGTCGTGTGTTTTATTTTTATCCCTCGCCGGCACAGGCCATTTTGCGTCCTTCGACGGCGCAAGGGGGGGGCGAACCCCTCGTGTTTGGCCCATAATTGAGCTAGAGCCTCGCGGAAAAACATCGTGTAGGTCATCACGAGACGAAGCCAACGGTACCCAGTTTTAAGGTCATAGTTCAAATGGTGACCTCTGAGGTGAGGTCAGGTCGTCAATGAACCAAAAGTCGAGAAAATCGGGACCTGTTAGAACGTCGTAGTGTGGCTGCTATGGATTTTTTCGGGGTGCTGATCAAGAATATCATGTTATTTGTGATCACAGATGATATCTTCATGCATTTAGGCCAGGTCGGGTCAGGTCAGGTCAGGTCAACCAGTAGGGGTCCTGCCGGGTATTCGTAGTACGTGTCAAAAGCCTCTGACAGCTTCGTAACATATAACGAAGGCACCAAAACTACTTCGTAAATGTTCAAATGGTTGCCAATTCGAATTCAGCTCCAAAAACTAGCCTAGAAACATATAAAACTCGAAAAAGTGAACCGAGGTCATCAAAGGTCAATAACCTGACCTGACCTTTAGGTGACCTTGACATCCAACCTTATGCATGAGACCAACATCATATCACATGTTTGAAAGCCTGAAACCACGAAAAGACGCGCGGTAATGCAAGCCGACATACGCCGAATCGCGATTCCGGCCAAAAATTGTCTCGAAAAGCAGGTCACAGGTCAAAGGTCATTTGGGTCAGGATCATGAAATTTTTATGGTAGGTGTAAAATTGATCAACTCGAAGGTACTGCAAATTTTGTCGCGATCGGCCGCTTTTTACGCGATTTATTTGCGAAAAAAAGAAACATAGGGGGCTGCATCACCCCGCCCCCTGTGTATAGGGTTATAGTTAGCGATGCTCGTGACGTCTATTTGTTCCAGATTACATGTACATTGTACATGCCTATTCACTCACGAGACAATTACTTTTTTACAAATACCGATTAAAACCCAATGCTGTGGGAGGGATGCTACCTGGGCTTATAGATGCAACAGCGAGTTAGAGCTCCTAATTTACAAGCCTCACCGGTCGGACCTTTATTTTTACATTTGCTTCTGGGTGGGCAAATCGACGCCACTGGGTGGGCAATTGTGGTGACTGGGTGGGTATTTGCCCACCCAGTGGGTATGTTAGAGGAGGCCCTGAAACATGGCCGAATTGGATGCCGCCGTTCGCGGCTTGAACCTGGCCGTGGCGTGGGGCGTGACAAACATCGACCTAAGGACAGACTCGGCGACAGTGCACCGCTGGGTGGACGACGCGCTCAGCGGCCGCGCCCGCCTCCGGACGAGAGCGGCCGGTGAGATGCTAATCAGACGCCGTGTCGACCTCATTCGACAGCTAGCCAACGAACTGGAGCTCAAGGTCACCGTCACGCTGGTTCGCTCGGAGGAGAACCTCGCCGACGCCCTGACGCGAGTGCCGAAGGAGTGGCTGCGTGACGAGTGTGAAGAGAGCAGGATGTCGGTGACGGCCGATGACGGAGTCGGCGACTCGGCCGCCCGTGGGCAGGTGGTCGTTGGTGCTGGTGCTGCAGATGCCGTCAGGTCGTCTGTGCAATCGGTGCACGAGCGGGCCGGTCACCCTGGCGTTCGTCGGACGCTGTTTTTCGCGCGGCGAGATGTGTCTCGAGACGTGACGAGGGCTCTGGTGCGCGCGGTCGTGACGACTTGTGATGTGTGCCGATCGATAGACCCGGCGCCTGTGCGGTGGCGGCACGGCTCGCTAGAGGTGGCGGCAGTATGGGAGCGCGTCGCGATGGACGTGACCCACCACCAGGGGCGGAGCTACCTAACCGTCATCGACTGCGGGCCCACGCGGTTCACCGTCTGGCGCCCGCTCGGCCGTGCCGACACAGTGGAGGTCACCGGCCACCTGGAACAGATCTTCCTTGAGCGCGGCGCGCCCAAAGAAATACTGGCGGACAATGACACGGTGTTTCGGGGCCGGCGACTCGCCTCGCTCGTGGCACGGTGGGGCATTGCCCTGAGATTCCGCGCCGTGCACGAGCCGGGCGGCAATGGCGTAGTGGAACGGTGCCATCGAACTGTCAAGGTGATCGCGGCTAGGAGGTGGTGCCCTGTGTCCGAGGCCGTCCACCTCTACAACGTCACTCCTCGTGACGGCCGGACGGCGGACACCGCGCCAGCGGCCGGGGTGTACCGCTACGCGGTGAGAGACTGCGTCCGCCCAGGGCATACGCCAGTCGATACCGACGGGGATGGCGCCCAGCCTGCGCCAGCGCTGACTCAGCCGACCGACACCCGGCTCCGGGTAGGGGACCGTGTGTGGGTGCGGCGCCGCGGCACCCGCTGTACCGAGACGTCTCAGCGCGGGACGGTTACGGGCGAGCTCTCAGAACAGGTGCTGGAGGTGGACGGCGTTCCGTGGCACGTCCGTAACCTGCGACCGCGGTACGAAGCGTCCTCGGACAGCGGGGATGACAGTGAAGAGGCCGACGAATCGCCGCCACTGCTCGTTGGCTCCCCGCCGGCCGCACTGCGAGCTGAACATGACGCACTGAACGGGGCGGCGCCCCCCGATGAGCCACAGACTGAGTCACACGGGATAGATGGGACGGTGCCGCCTGGCGAGGGGTCGGAACCGTTTTCGACGGAAGGGGAGCCGGCGGAAGCGGCAAATATCCCCCCCCCCCGTCACAGTGAGCGTGCCCGGCGACCGCCGCCGCCGTGCAGCTGCTGCACCCAGCCGGAGTGATGACTCTTACGTGAGCGGTGAGCACATGTGCGTTTGATATTGTTTTGTTTGTGATACATGACAAAACAAAGTTAATACAAAAAATCGTAGTTCAAAATTCACAAGTCGTTACATCGTTTAAACATTCGGATCAATCGCTACATTCTTTTAAAATCGGTTGATGCTCTCACAGACCTATTTGAAAAATATGTCAAGAACTCAGGTGCTTCATACTTCAAGGCACTTCAAAATAAAGCACCAAGTAATGGTGGCTACTTCTAAGCCACAATCTGCAGGGGCACAGCTGAGTTTTTACTATTTAAGCTTGGTTTTTCCATATGTATGTGTAATGATTCGAGCGTTCTAAGGTCCATAGCTGTTGGCGCTCTTGCAAGTATTTGAAAGTCCGAAATTGAAAAACGGGTGTCACACTGATCTGAATGATCTCTCACAGATGACTGGAGAGGAGATGTCAGCATCTTACCCGTTCTCTCAGAGATTCCTAAATGCTGGCTAACTCTGGTGTTAAGGCGTGCACTGGTAGAGCCAATGTACGACCCCCCGCACGAGGGGCAACAGAATTTGTATATCACGCTAGAGCAGCACATTTTTGGAACTCTATCTTTGTGTTTGAAAAAAGAGCCAATCGTAAGTTGGTTCCTCAGGACGATACGAAATTGGGCATAAGGGTAGAAAGTAGTCAGTATATCGGTAATAGCATGTTTTAAAGCTTGAGACTGTTCTCCAAGGTACGGGAAAGTCACGTATTTGCAGAGCTTGGGCACATCAAAAGATGCTGGTACCCGATCGTATTGTTTGTTGAGGAATTTCCTCACTTCGAAATTGATTAGAGGAGCAGGAAAACCATTATTTTTGAAGAAAGTTCTCAGGAAATTAAGTTCACAGTCAAAAAGTCGATAACTGGAGCATAACTTGAAAGCTCTGTGGATGGCCGATTGCAGTACTGCCACCTTGATCGCCTTGGGAATAAAGCTTAAAAAAAACTTAAACCTAGTCCAGTGAATGACGGTTTCCTGAATACAGAGGTTACGAATCTGTCCCCAGACCTTGTGACGTTCACATCCAAGAATGGAAGTGTACCGTTTGTTTCTACTTCCCTAGTGAACTTTATCCTTGGGTGACGGCCGTTCAAGTATTGTAAGAATCGGTCTATATGCGAGGGGTGGTCAAAAATAAGAAAGCAGTAGCGATTGATGTAAAAAAATGAATAAAAATGATGTAAAAGAATGTAGCGATTGATCCGAATGTTTAAACGATGTAACGACTTGTGAATTTTGAACTACGATTTTTTGTTTTGTTTGTTTGTATTGTTTGTATTATGTGTTTGTATTGCCGTATCGTGTGTTTGTATAATTGTATGTATGATTCTTGAAAATCAGGGGGAGGTGTGGCGTGATACCGGGGTCGTGGTATCCCGTCCCCGGCGCCGATGTTAGAGACGGTACCTGGTCCGGGCTGTACCGGGCCCCGGACTGTACCAGGCCTCACTGTCAGAGGCGGCTCAGGCCCGGGTGACCTACGCCCGGGTGGCCTACGCCCGGCTGACCTACGCCCGAATTGCCTACTCCATCGAATGTCTACGCCCGGGTGACCTACGCCCGGCTGACCTACGCCCGAATCGCCTACTCCATCGAATGTCTACGCCCGGGTGACCTACGCCCGGCTGACCTACGCCCGAATCGCCTACTCCATCGAATGTCTACGCCCGGCTGGCCTACGCCCGGCTAACCTACGCCCGAATCGCCTACTCCATCGAATGTCTACGCCCGGCTGACCTACGCCCGGCTGACCTACGCCCGAATCGCCTACTCCATCGAATGTCTACGCCCGGCTGACCTACGCCCGGCTGACCTACGCCCGAATTGCCTACTCCATCGAATGTCTACGCCCGGCTGACCTACGCCCGGCTGACCTACGCCCGAATCGCCTACTCCATCGAATGTCTACGCCCGGCTGACCTACGCCCGAATCGCCTACTCCATCGAATGTCTACTGCTCCCCTCCTGTCCGATTAACGAGTGAAGATTTCGCATACCAAAGTGACCCTTCCGGGGGAACCGGCACCCGCAGTCAGGTAACAATGGGAAGGGTCGGAGGGACCGACCGCCGCGCCGCATGGTGACAGGTGATTCCCGGGACGTCCGAGCGTCCCCTTTCAGACGCATCGCCGCCTTCCCCCCCCCCCCCCACCGCGCCGTGCCGCGCCGCACAAAGCAGACGGACCCTGTCGCGGAGCGAACTACCCGACCAGGCTGCCATCATCGGCGGAGAGCCTGAACTGCTTTTTTTTAATCGTTGAGCTGATCAAGCTTGAGTAGCCATGCTTGCGTATTTCACGCTTCAGCCCTGCTGTGAGCCATGTTTTATGATTTCTCATTTCAGATCTTAACAATGATCTTAGGTAGGAAGAACCGTTAGAAACGCCCCTCCCCCTTAGCCCTCGCCGGTATAAGGGGGGGGGTCGAACAGCCCCCTCTCGGTTTTCGATAATAACTCGCGTAAAAACCCGCTGATCGCGACGGAACTTTCATTACCCTCGCGTTCATCAATTTTACACCTACCCTAACAATTTCATGACCCTGACGCAAATGACCCTTGACCTGTGACCTACTTTTCGAGACCATGTTTGGCCGGAATCGCGATTCGGCGTATGTCGTCTCCTCTTAGCCGCGCGTTTGCACTCTTTTCGTGATTTCAAGCGTTCAAACATGTGATATGATATTGCTCCTATGCGTTAGGGTGGGTGCAGGGGCGTCGCCGACGGGGGGGGGGGGGGGTCGGGGGGGGGTCGCGACCCCCCACTCGTCAGAACCGGGGGGATCGACCCCCCACTTTTGGCGATGCTGAGTATGCTTTTTTTAGCTATCATGTCAGGGAAGTTGGCGTCAGCAACATCAACAAATACAACGTCAGATTCAGAATCGCTTCAAGAGCTCCCTAGTCCCTATTGCTTAAAGGTCAATAAGCTGTGGGCTAGAACATCAGCATGACAATATGATTTTAGTCCCTTTTTATCCCTCAAATGAGCGAGCGCGTCAAAACTGACCCAAGCGTTCGTCTGATTGTCCAAATAATGGTTGCAGTCGATTCGTCGGATGACGTATCAGTAACTACGAGGTACCTGGCTAGCCTCAGCCCTGCTACCCTCGGACCTGCCTGCATAGCCCGGGAAATGGGGTCAGATGGTGGATCCCTCTGGGGCTTTCCTAATAAGACGCGCAAAAAAGGAGTATATTGCAACGAAACTTCCAGTGAACTCGAGTTAATGAATTTTACACCTATTCTAGAAAAAAATTGGCCCTGATTCGAATATGGATGACCTTGGTTAACTTTTTTAAGTTTTATTTGCTTCCACTTACAAGTGTGGTTTTTGGGGCTGATTTCGAGTTTAGCGCCCGTTTGAACCGTTTGAAGTAGTTTTGATAAATGATGGTTATGTAGCATGTTACGAAGCTGTCGTTGGTGGTTGTCAGTCACCCACTCTAGAGGCAGGAAGCCTGCTGGTCGACCTGACCTGACCCGACACGATCTACCCAAAATGCATGGAGTCATCATCTTTGTTCAAGACTAACATCGAACTCGTACTCGGGACCCCGATAACAGCTACGGCTCACTAAGTTCTAGCAGGCGGCCAGATTTTTCCTACTTTTGGGCGTTGACCTAAGATGACCCGGCCAAGACCTTGAAATTGGGCATCATCGACTTTCTCTCATCACGGGCAGCATTTTCGCTCTTCCGCGAAACTCTACCTCGATCAGGGGCCGAAAGCATGCCTTATGCGTTACGTTGGTAAACGTTTTACCTTAGCGACCCGCAAAATACGAATAAGAGCTACAGCAACACAGAAAGCGTATTCGATAGCTTTTTAAAGCTCTTTCGCCAACTTCGCCTCAGATATGACTTCGGGTCTATGGCTTGTGTACCATAGAGTCCAAACAGCTAAACGGACGGATTTTGCCGAAACATTTGTTCTGTAACAACCTATGATTCAGTAATTGTGTATGATATTCATGTTATCACCATCGTTTTTGTTTCGTCGAAACACGTCGCATGGCTTACAATTTGAACTTAAAAAACTTGAATAGAAAACTTGACATCAGGTAAAGGTCATGACCTGACCGGAAAAGAACCTGCTGCATATGGATCGATCTGTGTTACTAAGCTGAACACACTCCAGGTGCTGTCATCGCTCTACAACGTCTCCATCAAAAGTTGTTGTCGAAAATGTGTTAGAGACCTTTGATGACCTAATGACTGACCATTTCAGTCACCACTGGTCATTAGCTGCACCTTATCTCTAAAATGAACAAGGTGCCATGGCTACAAAACTATCTAGCGTTTTTAGCATATTCTTTCAAAGCAGAGGGCATCGTGCTTTTTCCCATATCTTATCATGATTGGTGAGGTCACACACCTATTTGACCTGACTTCGCTTCTCAGATGTAAAATCCCAGATTCATGAACTGTTGGCACTTATAATCCCATTCATTACACCGAATTTCAGACTTATAGGAGTCAGGAGATAATCTATAGGAATGACAAGATTGCAGTTTTAAGAGGCATAACTGAACTTGACATGACATTGTGACCTGACCTCAGGTGACCTCTGCTTGATTTGTATGCACGATGCAAAAATGATGTGCAATAAGATATACCGCTGCTTTCGCGGCGCTGCGCGCCGAGGTTTTTCTCCGGGCACACGAAAAAACCGGGAGTGTGGCTAAAAACACCCCTACCCATCAAGACGAAGACCGGAAACCCGACCCCCCCCCCCTACTAAAAAATCCGTGGCGACGCCCCTGGGTGGGTGTCAAGTTCACTTGAAGCTCAGGACAGGTCACTGACCTTAAAGGGAGATTATGACCTTTTTCCACAAAATCTGAGTTAGGACCATTTTCTGACAAAACACAACAAGTTATAATGTAAATTAAAACCATTTTGCTCAATTCGGTACCTTGCCGCAAATATCTCAACTTGAAGTCACGTTAGCGGGGAGCGCT